TTTTAATGCCCATCCAGAACTTTCAAAGCCAAATTATTAAAAAATCCCCTACAATTACAGACACCTCATAGGGTTCTGATTTGATGATGGTTGAATCTGCTACAGAGAGGAAGTTCTGAGAGCCAATTGTGATGCTAGAAAAGAGTGGACTCCCCAATTCCAATCTTGGTGGTCACCAGGTGCTTGAAAATAGGTCTCAACTACAACAACTGCCTCCAGTTGAATGACCATTTTTTAGGTATATTAATTTCACAAAAACCCCTGTTTCTAATTTGATATTGGGGAACTATTGTTATTATCAATTAAGATGTTCCACATATGCTTTGTTGAGTAGATGCAAATTAGGAATACCCAATCAACCCTCTTCCTTTGGTTGCATACATTAGGGGATTTGCTACCAAATTATAAGTATTGGAGAATCAGGAGAGGTCTTTTTTTTTTTTTTTCCAACAAATTATTGAGGAGTTCAAATAAAATGCAGACAATGTATAAGATAATCCTACTATTTATGTTTCTTAAATTAAAATTCTACTATTTATCCACAGGTGCGCGCACACACATATGTAAATAAAATCTGCTAAAAGCTAACTTGATTTTGAAGGGGGCAGAAAATGCCCCAAATACAAGAAAGATCAAAACTCTCTCCAGAATAATGAAAAAGTCTGTCCAAAAACTTGTGAGATAAACCATGACAGCATGAATACTTATAATATTATTACTGGTTTCTGGCTTTTCTTTTTATATATTAGTTAAGTAGCAACACCATGCATGTGCATTAAATAGTTTGCTAATTCACCACACCATCCACATTTTTATTTCATTCTTACTATTAGAGATTTACCCTGCTTTTTGAAAGATTTTACATTTTTTAAAAAATATATATGTTCACAATCAACACAATATTCATTTACCCAATATTTTTGGACTTGTTCAACAAACAGCAATAGAAGAATTCTACAAATTGGAGAGATGTATTTTGGTTGATTTCATGTTAAAACAAGATAGACAATGGCTCTTGTACAATTGCTGCAACAATGGTGCCAAGAGCTAAACAAAACACCACCACTCACAACTCTCTTTTTTTACTCCCTTCTCCTCCTCTTTCCTCTCCTCTTTCTGCTTAAGCTCACTAGAGGCAGAACCAAACTCAACTTACCCCCTTCTCCTCCCAAGCTACCTATAATCGGCCACCTCCATCGGCTAGGGAAACTACCTCACCAGTCCCTCCAAGCCCTAGCAGACGAGTATGGTCCCTTAATGTTGTTACAGTTAGGCCATGTTCCGACCATCGTGGTCACGTCTCCTGAGATAGCTAAAGAGATCCTGAAAACCCAAGACATAGTTTTTCTAAGTAGTTCCAAATCATGGGCTGCTGATACTTTCTTTTACGGAAGCAAAGACATTGTGTTTTCCCCACATGGCGAGTATTGGAGAATAGTGAGAAAGGTCTGTGTTTCCGAGTTTTTGATCCTCAATAAAGTCCACTCTTTTCAATTTGTTAGGGAGGAAGAAGTGAGAGAAATGATTGAGAAGATTACTAGTGCCAGTATTGATAGAGCTACAGTCAATATTGGAGATTTGATGGTTAAGATCTCAAGCAACATCATTTCAAGATGTGTTCTTGGTAGGAAGTATGAGCAAGGACTAGAAGACGGCAAGAGAAGCTTCGAAGAGTTGTCAAAGACATCAATGCAGCTCGTAGGGGCTTTCTGCTTCCGAGACACTTTCCCTTCCTTAGGATGGATGGATGTTCTTACTGGCTTGGCTAAAAGAATGAAGGAGACTTTTGAAGGTTTTGATGAATTCCTAGACCAGGTGATTGAAGAACATAGAAATTCACAAGGCAAGTATGATCAGCCTTATAGGGAATGCTTTTTGGGGACTTTGCTCCGTCTACAGAGAGAAGGCACACTAGAGATTAATCTCTCACAAAACGACATTAAAGCAATCCTACAGGTCCTTCTCTAGCCCTATCTGTATGTATGTATATAAGAACTATAAACAATCTAAGTAATTTGAAGTTTTAACATTTAAGCTGTATGACACTTTGAATGTGTAGAAGATTTTTCATTCCATCCTTCTGAAAGAGTATCGATCAGGTCCTCGTGCATAGTTATGTTACATGGACTCTTTCAAAGTAGGTGAAGTACCCTTATACTACACATATTATTCCAACATAGGCATGGATATGTGTCCAACACTATTTGATTTGACATGCCCCTAAAAAGTATTCAAAAATTTCATGTGTGATGTTGCGGCTCAAATTTGGTTTTGGGTAATGACCCGATGATTGAGCTTTGTGTGGGCTCAAGCCTAAAATTTTTGACCCGTTTTTTGCTTGCGGGTCATGAACCCTGGTTAGCACTCTCTTGTTGTCTGATGTATAAGAGCGTTTAGGTTTGAAGTAAGATATTGAGAGACTGAAAAAATCGCATATAAGAGAGTAAGAGCGAGAGTTAGAGTTTGGGGTTGAAACTTGTAATCTCCTAATAAAACATTTCGTCAGATTTTCATCGTGGACGTAGACACAACTAATGTGAACCACACTAAATTTTTTTGTCATGTGCTGCGCTTGCTTTTTGTCATGTTTTGTGATTATTTCTAGGTTTGTAGTTTTTTTTTCACAACATATTATTACTTCAACCAAAATGAATATTTAGCAGTGCCTATATCTATACCCGACACACGTAGACGTGCCTATATCCATACCCGACACACGTAGACGAGTCCATGTAACATAGGTGTATAACAACCCCAATGTTGTGTATAAGTGGGTTGTGATCTCCACACAACAAGCTAGATAGACTCATTCCATGTGGAGTGGTCTAAATTGGGCAGTACATTGTTGTCTTATTACAACACTTCATTCGATTAGACAATTTCAAAGTGTTTGTGTCTAGCACAACTTTTGTGTATACGTGATGGATGAAGTTTTTAATTCTTTTTGCCAATGACAGGATATGTTTGTTGGAGGAACTGATACAATTGCAACAGTCATGGAATGGGCAATGGCAGAGCTGGTGAAACAGCCAACTTTGTTGAAGAAAGCCCAAGAAGAGATAAGAAGAGTGGTGGGAAAGAAGTGTAAGGTAGATGAAGAAGATATCAATCAAATGGATTACTTGAAATGTGTCATTAAAGAGTCTCTAAGACTACATGCCCCTGGTCCTTTCCTAAACCCTAGAGAATCATCTACAAGTGTGAAATTGGATGGTTATGACATACCTCCCAAAACAAGAGTGTTCATCAATGTAAGGGCTATTCAAAGGGACCCCAAATTATGGGACAGCCAGAAGAGTTTGTGCCAGATAGATTTGTCAACAACCCTATTGATTTTAAAGGTCAGGACTTCCAATTCATCCCATTTGGTGCTGGTAGAAGGGGTTGTCCTGGGACATTGTTTGGGGTCGCAGAAGGTGAATATGTGCTTGCCAATCTCTTGTACTGGTTCAACTGAAAATTGCCAAATGGTGCAAGTAAAGGAGGATTTGGACATGAGTGAGGCTTATGGGCTAGTTGTTCATAAGAAATTTCCTCTCCAACTTGTTCCAGTACTGCACTCTTCTTAAAGTTGTTGTAGAAACTACCTTTACTTCCTGTAAATGATCAGTCATTTCTCTTCTTTGTCTGTGCTTATCATGAAATGATTCTGTACTAATTAACTATAAATGTGCTTGAATAAATGGGAAGGAAAGGAAAATGAAGGATGTACAATAAGTAAAATTAGTTGTTCATAAATAATCAGGTCTCATAGTGGCGAGCATTTAATTTATTTCTATTTTAATTTCAAAACGGAAATTACATACTCGCAATTATTTTATAATGCTTTGTTTGGTAGGTAGAAAAGAGGTGCGAAAGGAAGATAGGAACGATGGATCAAACTTTCTTATCTCAATAGGGAGGAGACAATGGGAGAAATGATAATAGGAGGATAAATTATAGTTCATTCTTTAGAATTTTTAATGCTCCAAATATGTGTAGAATAGAGGAGGATAAAATAAATTACTACTATTCTAAATTAAATATTTCTCTTCCCTTCTCTCCTGATGAACACAATAAATTGGGACATTATTCTCTTCTCTTCCATCCAACTGAATAAAAAAAGGAAATGATACAAGATCTCTTCTCTAAGGATGTTTCATCCATCACTTATTCTCTTCATTCTATTATATTTTTTCATATCTTACCAAACTGAGCATAAGAGAAAATTAATTACTATTGATAAGGATGCTGAAGAGATGAGGGAGCCAAAGCGATAATGAATAACGATGAACCACAATGGAGAACAGAATAATGTCATCCTGAAATCCCTATTGAAGTTGGTTGGAGAAGATAAAGGGTGGAATTTCAAAGCCCAACATAACCATCAAATCATCTCAGGTAAGAAGGAAGCCGTTCAACTCAAAAAGTACGATAAAAATTACATGCAAAAGTCTTTCTTTTTATATATTGATCGAGTAGTAACTTGATTGTCGCCAGGTGTATCCAGCCGATACCACAACAATGCTTTTTTTTTTTATTTTAGTAATGCTCATAAGAGATCCCTCTCATTAGAGATCTACCAACTTTTCTATTTTTTAACTTAGATGCATTAAATAATTGATTTGACTTTTCACACATCTAAAAAAATTGTATCATTCAATAGTTAAATAAGGAGAGTTTATGACTCTTCTAATGAGAGGGGCTTTTTAAGAGCATCACTCTATTTTCTTTTGAAAAAAAAGTAAGTACGATTGTGCCAATCTGAATTATGCCAGAATCACGCATCTAACAACTTTGTATTATCGATGAAATATGATCAAACTAGGCACCTTTGGAATATTTTTCTCGTTTTTCATTTCTATTATTAGTTTATTTATTTAGGTCATTATTTTATTTTTTACAACTTTTAAAAATCTATTTCAAAGGTTGTCTCTTTCAAAAGTCCCACGGTGAAATATGATCAAACTAGGCACCTTTGGAATATTTTTCTCGTTTTTCATTTCTATTCTTAGTTTATTTATTTAGGTTTTTTACAACTCTTTTAAAACTATTTCAAAGGTAGTCTCTTTCAAAAGCCCCCGTACCTACTTTATCAATAATTTGATGTCCTAATTTTTTAAAGGTCATACAGCACAAGATATAGTCTCTTTGATTTTTTATTTTATAAAAGGTACTGCATTTTTAATGCCCATCCAGAACTTTCAAAGCCAAATTATTAAAAAATTCTCTACAATTACAGACACCTCATGTCTGCAATTTCCCTACCAATATGTCGTAATTTATTCATTTAACTGAGAAGTTTGTTAATATTTTACATACTCCCTCTATCTTTCATAATTTTCTTTATCTTCAATGTTAGTGAATTTATTTATTTATTTTTTTTTTTTTTTTATTTTTTTTATGATTTTGCCAATGAGATGTTTGCACTCATTTTCGGCATTAGAAGGGTAAAACGGTTGGAAAATTCTTTACATAAATCAGAACTTCAAGAGAGATAAGTGAAATTATAAAACGAGAGTATCTATCTGCAATATTGACCAACCTCATAGGAGGTAAGTAAAATTTATGCTTTATTTATTTATAATTTTTGAAGAATTCTAACCAAGTAGACAAAGTTCTTGCACCCTACTGCACACAATGGTGGTTCCAAGTAACTTTTACAGTTTTACCAGTTGGTCACCCCGACAACAGAGGGTTGTGATTTGATGATGGTTGAATCTGCTACAGAGAGGAAGTTCTGAGAGCCAATTATGATGCTAGAAAAGAGTGGACTCCTCATTTCCAATCTTGGCGGTCACCAGGTGCTTGAGTAAAGGTCTCAACTACAACAACTTCCTCCAGTTGAATGAGCATTTTTGAGGTATATTAATTTCACAAAAACCCCCTGTTTCTAATTTGATATTGGGTCCATGAACTATTGTTATTATCAATTAAGATGTTCCACAGATGCTTGAGTATAGAAGCTTTGTTGACTAGATGCAAATTAGGAATACCCAATCCACCCTCCTCCTTTGTTCTGCATACATTAGGGGATTTGCTGCCAAATTATAAGTATAGGGGAATCAGGAGAGGGGTTTTTTTTTTTTTTTTTTTTTTTTTTTTTTTTTTTTTTTATTGAGGAGTTCAAATAAAATGCTAACAATGTATAAGATAATCCTACTATTTATGTTTCTTAAATTAATATTCTACTATATATGTAAATAAAATCTGCTAAAAGCTAACTTGATTTTGAAGGGGGGCAGAATATGCCCCAATTACAAGAATTATCAAAACTCTTTCTAGAATAATGAAAATGTCTCTGTCCAAAAACTTGTGAGATATACCATGACAACATGAATACTTATAATAATATTACTGGTATGATTGGTATCTGGCTTTTCTTTTTATATACTAGTTAAGTAGCAACACCATAAGGTGTTGTTTGTCAGTCACCCATGTACTTATACAAGAAACAATAATTATGTGTCGTCACAGCTTTCATTATCACCATTGAAAAACGTATGAATGTTTAAAATTCATTCTGAGTTTTAATATAATACGATATCATCATCAACTGGAAGAAAAAATAAAATGGTATGCCAGGTATGTGCATTAATTAAATAGTTTGCTTCAAAGTCAGATAGTTTAATAAGTTTTGTAGAGTTCAACAGAATTTCATTAAAACTAAATCTTAATTAAAACAATAGTAAATCAGAAATACAACACATATGGTCCTCTAAATGATCCATTACATCTCCAACAAATTCATATAATCATAGATCGAAAGCCTCTGTATCCTGGCAGCCTAAAAGTCCTTCCACACCAAAAATAGCACAGTGCTATAGCTTAAAAAACTACTCTCTAGGCTCTAATTCTCTTCTCTACAATTTACCTTCAAATCTACCCATTGAATGGCTAATTCGCCATCCACATTTTTATTTTAATATTATTCTTAGAGATCCTATCCTGTTATCCTGAAAGATTTTCTTGTTTTCAAAAAAAATATCGGTTCACAATCAGCACACCATTTATTTACTCAATATATTTGGAATTGTTCAACTTATAGCAATAGTAGTTCTATAAATTGGAGAGGTGTATTTTGGCTGATTTCATGTTAAAACAAGATAGACAATGGCCCTTGTACAATTGTTGCAGCAATGGTGTCAAGAGCTAAACAAAACAACACTGATCAATCCCTTTGTTTCTTCCATTATCCTCCTTTTCTCTCTCCTCTTTTTGCTTAAGTGTGATGTTTTCAATTTTTTGCCATTTTTCATTTTCTGGAATTTTCTGATTTTTCGAAGGTATTTTCGCTTTTCCTCGTTTTGCCTGCCGGACACCGTGGGGTGTGCCGGGTGTGTCCAAGAGTTGATTAGGGCATTTCATTGAGTTCAAGACTCTTTGAAATGTAAGCGTTGCCATTTCGACATTTTTCACTTTTTGGACCGGAAGGTCCCGTGTGGGACCCGCTACCAGGATTGTTGTGTACGAGAGTTTTGTTTGGGTCTAGTTGCACCTCATTTTATTTTATTTTATGTGTTCTATGTGGTTATATTATAGTTGGTGAATATATATATATATATATATATATATATTTTTTTTTTTTTGTGGTGAGAATTAATAAGAAAATGAAAAAGGAAAATAAACAAATTTTGATGGGACCCACCTTATGTTTTTAGAAAAGGGCCAAGAGGCCAAAATTGGCCTCATTTTTCTCACCTCTCTCTCCCTCTCTCTCTCTCTCTATCTATCTCTCTCCTGCCAGTCTCTCTCTCCCTCATTCTTTCTTTCTCTTTTTCTTTTTCTTTTGAGCAAATTTCAACTCTTGATTACTCTCAAACCATAGGGAGTTTGATTGTGCCGTTTGCGGCAAATTAAAGAGCACGAAGAGATCTACAATTTGATCGGAGCAATTCCTTGTTTAGAGCACTTGGAAATTTCGAGATCTAGGGCACAAAATTGGGAGTTTTTGCATATCTTGAGGTAGGGATCTCTAATTCATATTTTCTTATTCTTTTGTGAGTCAATTTCTAGTTAATTGATGTTAACATGCTTAATTGAAGTTAATCTCTCTTAGAATGATTTTATTGTGGTTATAAAGTTCATGATTTTACATATATGTTGATTTGTATGAAGAACATGCCTAAGTGTTGATTTTCCATGTCTATTGTGTTGTGAATTTGCTAGAGATGATATGTGTTTACATGTATGATTTCCTTGGAATTTTGGTAATGAATGCCTAATTGTATAATGTGAAAATTTCTTATTTCTATTGTATTGAAGTCATGAGACATACATACATGTCATTGGGCATGAAGAAAGTGAAATGTTTTGAAATGAATAAAAAGGGAGTTTTGGGAAAAAGTTTTGATAAAAGGAATTTTGTGAAAACCCGGACGCCAAGGGGGTACCAAGGGTCCGTGGCGTTAATGTAGCCTAGAGGGAACTAGGGAGATCGTTCTAGCGTGGTTGAGCTATTTGGCCCCAAATGACACCGCGAGGTTACTAAGTGATCGGTCTTGTCGACTATCAATAATAATCAACCCTTTGCAATAGTACAAATCATTGTAAAATAAGGCTATTGGACGGGTAAGTCGAACCACTGGGATTGCTAGTTTATGGCAACCAAGGTCGTTAAATTCACTTTTGATTTGATGAAAGGGGTATAGAGTAATGTTTGATTTGTCACTTAAATTAAATTTCAGAAAACAATAATGTGCAAGAAATTTAAAGGAAAGAAATTTAAATAGAAAGAACTAGGGAAGTGAGTCCACTCCAACCCCTTACACATGCTAATATATGATTGATTCGGGGAAATAATATACATATGTGACTATGATATGTAGTAACACGTGGTTGCTACAATATCTTCAAGAAATTCATTAAATCACAAGGCAAGAATAACCTATCAAAGCTTCACATGCTTAAACTACCTAAACTAGTGTGTAGCCTTAAGCATGCTCACTAAGTTAGAGATTATCAAGCCCTCAATCAAATGATAAAAGCACATGGAGTCAAGAGACAAGATTAACCCATCAAAAGAAAGCCCTAAGCTATGGATTAACAAATTTCTCATAAACCATGCCATTAAAACTATTTCATAATCTCATTTCCATTGTCACTATGAAAATGTTAGCCATACAACCATGAGAATAAATAATCTAAGACAAGATAATTGATTCAACATGATCATTTATATAAAATAATATTCATTACACATTGTAAAATGCTCTAGATTATGAAACTTGACCCATACATATATTTCATTCCCCAAAATAAATCAAAATTAAAGCATGCTTACAAGGATGGGCTTCATCACCTCCCTAAAAAGAGAGTTAGTTACCCATGGATGCAAGAGAGGAAGGAGAAAGAGTGATCTACAACTCCATTTTCGCACCTAGAGCTTCAAGACCCACAAACCCTCTCACCTTGCAATATTTCTCTCTCTAAAACTTGTAAAAATGTGAGATCCCTCCAACCATAGCCTCAAGCCCCTTATCTACACAAAATAATCTCTTTTTCCCTCCATTTTCGTGCCCCAACAATCCTAGGAGAAATCAGGACCACAGAAAAGGGTTAAGGGGACAACTTTCAGCACAAATTCAGGGGCAGTTGATCTGCTATCCGTAGATCGGCGGGGGCCAGCGGGTGCTTGAAATCCAAGGATGGCCACTGGAGTGATTGGCAGGCGCCCCCGGATCTGCGGCGGGCGCCCGCGGTGCTTGCTGGCGGGGGCCCGCGAGACACGGCAGGGCCCCGTGGTTGAAGGAATGCTACTGGAGTGATTGGCGGGCCCCCGCGGATCTGCGGCGGGCGCCCGCGGTTCTAGGCTTCAAAACCTTTACTCCTCTCTTGAGCCACTTTGGATCAGTCCGTTTGACGCGGTCTTCATCCTGAGCGCTATGCCGCAAAACTCACACGCTTGATTGAATCAAGCGACTTGACCAAAACGACGGTCCCCAGCAATGGCATGCTTTGATTCTTCAAGAGTTTGTCAAGACCGCTCTTTTAACCATTTTCGGGGGAACCAACCTGAAAGAAGATAGAAATAAACAGATAAAGCTAAACTATACATTATAATTAACTAATGTACTTAACTAATGCAAATAAGGGCGCTTGAATATGCAATATTCGGCGCTTATCACTGAGGGTCAGGGACAATAGCCAATCCTTCTCTCGTGTCGCCAAGGGGGTACTGAGGGACGGGTTACATTAACAGTTTGAAAAGTGATGAATAGAAGTGATGATTTTGAAAATGGGGAGCGACATAGCACGGTATTGCATTTCATGGCATGACATTGTTTGTTTTAAACCTTGTAATTGTACTGTACTCTTCCTCTGTATGGCATGATCCCGTTCTCTTTATTTCTATTTATTGCCTGGATTCACGGGATTATAAGAGGTGTATCTTAGGCACCTCCTACTGAGCTTTATGCTCACCCCTTTATTATTAACATTTTTCAGGTTATGGCAAAGGAGTGGCGGACGACAATCCATAACCAGTTTAGTAAAGTTGACGGACTTGAACTCTTTTATGTTCGATATGTATTTTACCTATTTTTGTTGTAAATGTATTAGGGATCATTTTGTATATATCACATGGTTAGAAATGGTCTTGAGACCATTCTTTTGTATTTTGTGGTCTCACCCTAATTTTAATATCCATGTAAGGCCTTAAGGCCATATTCTCGATGTATGACACTCTCGTTTAATTTTAAGGATATATTGGACCCATGTACGGCCATATTTGATTTCATTACCATTTAATTGTGTTGGTTCCACCATTAAATGAAAGATTTGGGACAAGTTTAGGCTTTGAGAAAGGTCACCAAAGGGTCAAAGTAGTGCCAAAGGGCATAAGATTTCAATTTTAGGCTGTTTGGGGCATTTTGGAGGTTCTGGGCATCTTGAACTGGTTCAGCCCCATTGAACCGTTCAAGAGGGGGTCTTTGGTTCGAGAATGGGCATACTGCCCATCTTGAACCGGTTCAAGACCCTTGAACTGGTTCTAGTCCCCCAGTGCACTATTCTGGCTTCTTCAGTTGACAGCTTGGAATGTTTGACTTCGAAAGGTCATAACTTCTTCGTTCGGAGCCCAAATAGGGTCATTCTTGAGTCCATTTTCAAGGATTTTGAGTTAGCTTTCCAATGAGATCAACCTCATCCTCAAATTCCATCCATGTTGAGAGTTATGGTTATTTTAGTGGGACAGTGCCAGAATATTCCTTAAATCGTGTAAAGGTACTTTTGGGAATTCATATCCGGTGACCGTGGAACCTCACCGAGCATCATGGAATAACTAGAATAGTTGTTTTAAACATCATTTGACTAGTTTAAGGATGGATTACCCTCTCATAATGTAAAATGACCATTTTACCCCTAGTGTGTCATCGGGTTTGGTGAAGGACTCAATTAGCGATCCGGACTCCCGGTTTGGGTCGTTACATTAAGCTCACTAGATTAGGCAGAACCAAACTTAACTTACCCCCTTCTCCTCCAAAGCTACCGATAATCGGCCACCTCCACCGGCTAAGGACACTACCTCACCAGTCTCTCCAACCCCTGGCAGCCAAGTATGGTCCCTTTGGGCCCGTTTGGAGAGTGTTGTGTTTTGTTTTAGCCTAGAACAGAACAAGTGTTTTGTAATGTGGTGTTCTGAAATAAGAATAAAACATATTTGAGACAAAAATTTGGAGTGAGAATTTTGGAATAGAAACATGGTGAAACATGTTTGGTAGAATTTTTTAACAATCTGAAATGTATACCTATATGGGGGGGGGGGGGGGGGGTTTCGATGGTTAAAATAAATTAATTTTCTAGTACTCAACTTTTTCTCATATAAATTCTACTCTGCTTCTTCCCTAATAGTATTTTTTTATGGTGTACATAAATAATATATATATTCAGGAACTTGATTTCAGAGCTTGATTTCACCACATACGATTTAGTTTGCAAAATATACACAAATCAAAAATTTCACCAAATACAATTTAGTTTGCAAAACAAGAATTACAAAGCTTGATTAGTTGATTTAGAAAAAAAAAAAAAAAAATTAAAACAAAACCTATACACACAAGTTGGCAGTTGCAGAGAGAAAGGGGGCAAGCTTGAGAGTTGAGAGACAGCGGCTAAAGGTTGCGAACGGCAAACCACAACTGGAACAACGGCCGATGGAAACTGAAAGATATGGGTTTTGATTTTTTGAACAATCTTAAATGATATGCCGTTATGGGGGTTTTAATACAGGTAATAGGTTTTGAACTTTTGATTCTTGCAGACAGATGCATAAACTGAAATATATGGGTTTTGAACTTCTGATTCTTGTATATTTTGTAGTTTGCAGTTACAGAGAGAGTGGGTAAGTTCAAATGATATGGGTTTTGATTTTTTGAACAATATAAAATGATATGCCCATTTGGGTTTTGATATATAAGCTGAAGTAGAGATGGAAGCGATTGGGAGGCGATTAGGGCAAGTTCAGAGTTGAGAACAAGATTAGAGATGGAGGCGATTAGGAGGCGATTAGGGCAAGTTCAGAGTTGAGAACGAGAATAGAGATGGAGGCGAAGGGCAAGTTCAGACTTGAGAACAAGAATATAGATGGAGGCGATTGGGAGACGATTAGGGCAAGTTCAGAGTTGAGAACGAGAATAGAGATGGAGGCGATTAGGGCAAGTTCAGACTTGAGAACAAGAATAGAGATGGAGGCGATTGGGAGGCTGAAATGATTTGCCCTAAAAAAATTTGTTGTCCCGCTACAGTGTAAAACATGTTGCCCCCGCTACAGTGCAAATTGGGCCGGTCAAGTTGTGGAACAAGCCAGAACACCTTTTTTTTTGTTCCAAGTTTTGGCCCATATTTTGAAAGTGTTCTGGTACTGTTGAAAACAAAATAAGCCGGCCCAAACAAGTTTTGTTCTGAAAATGGGCTACTGTAGCGGGCCTGGAGCATTACACCATACATGGGAACAGAGACCAAACAAGCCCTTAATGTTGCTACAATTAGGCCATGTTCCGACCCTCGTGGTCACATTTCCAGAGCTAAAGAGATCGTGAAATTCCATAACACAGCTTTTGCCAATAGGTCCAAATCATGGGCTGTTGATACCTTTTTTTATGGAAGCACTGATGTTGGGTTTTGCCCATATGGTAAGTATTAGACAAGTGAGAAAGATCTGTGTTTCTGAATTTTGGAGCCTTAGAAAAGTCCAATCATTTCAATTTGTTAGGGAAGAAGAAATGAGAGAATTGATTGAGAATATAACTAGTGTCTGTAATGATAGAGCTTCAGTCAATATTGGAGATTTGATGGTTAAGATCACAAGCAACATAATCTCAAGATGTGTTCTTGGTAGAAAGTATGATTAAGGAGTACTAGAAGACGGCAAGAGAAGCTTCGGAGAGTTGTCAAAGACATCAATGGAGCTCATAGGGGCTTTCTGCTTCCGAGACACCTTCCTTTTCCTAGGATGGATGGATGGATGTTCATACTGGCTTGGCTAAAAGATTGAAGGAGACTTTTGAAGGTTTTGATGATTTCCTAGAACATCGAAATTCACAAGGCAAGTATGATCAGCTTGATATGGAATGCTTTATTGAGACTCTGCTTCGTCTCCAGAGGGAAGGCACACTGGAGATTAATCTCACTCAAAACAACATTAAAGCACTCCTACAGGTCGCTCTCTAACCCTATCTCTACGTATGTATACAAGATCGATAAATAATCCAAGTAGTTCAAACATTTAATCTGAATATTACTTGATTATGGAGAAGATTTTTCATTCCATCCCTTTGAGAGAGGATTTGGTCATGTTCACAGCATAGTATTATGCATAGGTGCAGAGTGAAGATAAAGCCATGGATCCTCTCCAATGCTGGAGCCGGTCCTGTACTCTACTAAGAGTGGAGATTGCATAATCAGTTAATGAGAGTAGACCATCATAAGTGAGTCCCACTTGGTGGTCTAATCTCCACTCTTGGGGGAGTACATGATTGGATTCTTATTCAAAGATCACCCCCCACACGGGTTAGGGGTGATCTAAGTTGGCGAGTTTGTCTCGTTATAACACTTCCTTCGCTTAGGCACTTTGAAAGTGTTCATGTCTAGCACAACTTGTGTGTGTGTGATGGATGAAAGATTTTCTTGTTGCAAATTACAGGTTATGTTTGTTGGAGGAACAGATACAATTGCAACAGTAATGGAATGGGCTATGGCAGAGCTGGTGAAACATCCAACTACGATGAAGAAAGCACAAGAAGAGATAAGAAGGGTGGTGGGAAAGAAGTCTAAGATAGATGAAGAAGATATCAATCAAATGGATTACTTGAAATGTGTCATTAAAGAGTCTCTGAGACTACATGCCCCTGTTCTTTCCTAAACCCTAGAGAATCATCTGCAAGTGTGAAATTGGATGGTTACGACATACCTCCCAAAACAAGAGTGTTCATCAATGCATGGGCTATTCAAAGGGACCCCAAATTATGGGACAAGCCAGAAGAGTTTGTGCAAGAGAGATTTGTTAACAACCCTACTGATTTTAAAGGTCAGGACTTCATATTCATTCCATTTGGTGCTGGTAGGAGGGGTTGTCCTGGGACATTGTTTGGGGTCACAGAATCTGAATATGTGCTTGCCAATCTCTTGTACTGGTTCAACTGGGAATTTCCTAGTGGTGCAAGTAAGGAAGATTTGGACATGAGTGAGGCTTATGGGCTAGTCGTTCACAAGAAAATTCCTCTCCAACTTGTTCCAGTACTGCACTCTTAAAGTTGTGTAAATGATCAATCGTTTCCCTTCTTTGTCTGGGCTCATGATGAATTGATCCAGTGGTTGTATGTTTGAGAAGTCTTTTTCCTTCAGTTGTTTGATTAATAAATTTGCCCTTTTAACTGGGTTCTTATCCAGGGAAAAAAAAAAGTGTTTGAATATGTGGGAAGGAAAGGGAAATGAAGGATGCACAATAAATAAAACAAGTTGTTCATGAACAATCAGGTCTCATAGTGACAAGCATTTAACTTACTCCCGTTTCAATTTAAAAGTGTGAATTACGTACTAGCAATTTTAGCATAAGAGAAAATTACTTTCTTTGTATTGTCGGTGAAATATGATCAACTAGGCATCTTTGGATATTTTTCTTGTTTTCATTTCTACTATTAGTATATATATATATATATATTTTAGTGACAACTCTCTTTAATCTATTTTAAAGATTCTCTCTTTCAAAGGTCGCACCTACTTTATCAATAATTCGATGTCCTGTGGTTTTTTAGTACATATAAAACAAGATATAATCTCTGTGAAATTTTTTTTTTAGTTTATAATGGGGTACTGCATTGTCAGACCCATCAAGAACTTCCAAAGCGGAATTATTGAAAATTCTCTACAATTGCAGACACCTCCTCATGGCTATGCAATTTCACTACCAATCTGTGGTAATTTATTTATTTATATTTTTTGAAAAATTCTAACCAGACACAGACAAAGTTCGTGCACCCTATCACACAATGTTGTGTGTTTCAATCCCAATCCTCTATGATTGTACTGCATATGATCCGTGCTCGAATAGAATATTAGAATAAGGTTGCATTTTGAAATATTGATAAATGATTTAGATCAATAAATGATTGAGTTTTATGAATGGGCATGAAGGAAAAAGAAGATTGGACTTTATGGTGGGAAAAAATTAGTATTTTGTGTTGCTCGCAACTGTTCGATGATTTTTTTTCCCACATGTTTTAAATTCAAAATGTACACGCGCGCTTCATTGTAATATTGTGCCACATAAGTGGTAAGGAGACAAGTATTATATGTCACAACTCACTGACCCCTAACCAATGAATTATACATTATGTGTTTTTCCTAGTTTCTCCCTGATCATCTAAAACAGGTCATCTTAGTGGTTTTTCAGGCACCATGGACAGTCCAAATGATTGGGAATTTCCTTCATATCCATGCCAAAGGCTAAAGACCACCATGCTCTAAATCAACTTCACTGAACCCTGGTGTCTCAAGGTATGTTTCTATTGGTCACTGTTCTAACTTCTAAAGATTATGATTACAATATTGAAGTTGTTTGTATAAGCTATTTATACACAAGGAAGGAGGACAATTCACCATGATCATTGGACATTATAGAAATATTAAACAAATTATATAAGGAATATAATGCCACCAATATACATACAATTTATGCAAAATACAATTGTTTTTCCTTGTCTAGTTTCTGATCAGGAGAAAGAAAAAGAAGAAAATATCAAAGAATTCTTGAAAGAGCCCTCAAAACGTCGTTCATGGTGGGCCTGTGAAGGGGGTCCTCCTCCACACAGGCCTTGGCTAGGATTGCCAAACACATAGCATCACCCAAAGGGTAATCCCCTTCTAAATTTGGATCCATGAATCTCTTCAACCTCTGCAAGCACCCTGAAGATTCTTCAAGCACTTCATCAGCTAAAAAACTGATTGAATCCTTCGAAAATTTCCCATCTGTGATAGCCTCTTTAGCTGATAATAACTCGATCAAAACAATGCCAAATGCATATATATCCACCTTCACAGAAGCCTGCCCATAGGTGAGGTACTCAGGTGCCAAATAATCCTTCCTCCCCACTATCACAGATTCATTCCAGGAAGTCTCACACTTTTCTTCACTGCAAATTATTGGTTTTGCCAATCGAAAACCAGAAATCTTTGCCCTCCAATCAATGGTTACGAGCACATTTCTGCTGTTTATGTTCCTATGGACATAGGCTGGCTTTGTGCTGTAATGTATGTAGTGAAGCCCCTCTAAAAGATCAAAAGCAATCTGGATCCTTCTTGCCCATGTAAGTTGCATCGCCTTCTTGGAATTAGACAGGCAGTCCCTTAGGCTACCATTCTCAGCAAATTCATAAACAAGACAAGGTCTAGTTTCCGAACAGAAACCAACAAGTTTCACCACATTTAGGTGATTGATCATTGTCAGTATGTCAATGACATGGTGAGCTGCTTCCATTGAATTCATCTGCTCAATTGCCAGATCAGAATCGCCAATTTTACCCCGATAAACTGCCTTACCAATTACAGAAGCCTCACAAAAGTCATTAGTTGCAATCATTAGCTCCTCTAAGGTAAAGTTGATCAATGAGTGCTTTAACTTGGACATGCCATCAAGAAAATCATGTGGGAAATCTGTCAGCTGTGAACTTCTAGCAGACAAGGGCTGAAAACTCCATTGATGATATCTTCTTCGGATGAATACAAGACCTCCACAAGCTAGAATCAGAATAACAGTGGCTGCAAATACTCCCCCTCCAAGTATTACATATAGATTCTTGTAATTTGCTCCCGGTACAATTTTCCTCAAGGAAATTGCTGTTCTAGGACTGAATGCATCTTCATAGGGAGTGGCCACATCAAGATTCAAGACTGGTGCAGTCTTTAAAGGAATGAGTAGTGTGGTCTGAGGGATTATAGATGCAAATGGTTCTAAGCTATTAGCATCCCTGATCTTGCCTTCGGACACTCCAAATTTACGAGCAATCAACTCTGTGTTGTCAAGCTCTACTATCGGATATGTCACTAGATAATTTGTGCCATTACTTTTATCAGATACTTCAGGACAAGCACAACGAACAGGCACTTCAATCAGCGAACCATTTAGTTTGTCCCCATTGAAATGTGGATTCGCATTTTTGAGAATTTGCGCCTTCACTAGTCCTTCAAAAACTCCACAAGCCACACTGAACAAGGATTCCGAGTGACAAGCATTGTAAACAAAGATGGCTTGAGAGAAAGGATCAGAGCAAGAGCATGTAACTGGGATAATGATCTCTCGACCATGCGTGAGATTGTAAGCATTTGTATCAGACATACGGTTGATAGAGAGGAGCTGGGATATGTTTGTACTGAATAAAGAGGAAATGGAAGGCAGTGTGTCATAACCCTTTTGAGCTCTGTAGACTATGAAGGTATGGCATGGACTTTTTTCGGAGTTGCATAGGTAGTTGGAACCTGGTACTTGGGGTTTTGAGGTGCAGTCAGATCTGTCATAGGGTCGCTGAGACAAGATTGGATTGATCAACTGAATTAGTGTGAAAATGTAGATGAATTTAAAGATAGACACCACCATAGTGTTGGGACTCATTTGTGAAGAGAGAAGCAAGATTGTGAAGAGAGAAGCAAGAGGTAGAGGAAGAGAAATAGGTGAAGAGAAGAGAGAGAAAGTCACAGTTTGGAAGAATTCAGACAGGAAACAATCAAACTAAAATGAAATGAACAAGTAAATTTGCCGCCTAGCCGGCCTTCATTAATCTATCAACCAGTGATTTCATCACTAAGATCTAGCTTGGTCACCAATGGACTGCATTTTGACCATTCAATAAAATAAAATAAAAATGTGCAATTTGCAATTTAAAAAGCTAGAGCTTCCTCATAAGCAATCTATTCATACTCTAGTTAATGCACTTGTAATTTGCTTTTAACAAACACCAAGTTAAGTTTCAGCTACTACTACAAAACTCAGGCACTACTGCAATATATTATGTATTCAACAGACTTATACAGAGAAATTGTGACATCCCACGTTGCCGCCTAGATTGGGGAGAAGTTGCTGGCATAAGGGAAAATCCTCCAATGCGTGTAGATGCATTTTGAAAACTGTGAGCAGTTTGTGTAACGCAAAACAGACAGTATCTGCATAGCGTGGGTCGGGTTCAACAAATGGTATCAAAGTCAATCTCAACCTAGAAATGGAGAACGTGCACAACCTTATGAGAACCTCATGTGAGTAAGGATTTTCTATCTTTTATAATGTAGCATGTCTCTTTCATGAGGTTGTATTGAGCAACGGTGGCCAAATAATTATAGAACTAAATTATAATAAAATCAAGTTTAATAGGATTTATGTTTTTTATTACTCCACAAAATAGTCAAGAGCTTATTATATACTTATACTTGAATCTATTCGTACTTCAGATGCAGGACCACTTCAAACATGAAGAAATTAGAGCAACTTCCATCTTTGAATCTGCTTCTTTCTAAGATTTTCCAACTCTAATCCCAAACATTCCAAAACGTTTGTAAACAATAGCTTAAAACTAAAAAATGACATTGACATATATATAATATGAGAATGGAAATTTTGTTTTATTGCTGTGTTTGTGCTTGGGAAAGTCAAAAAATTTATTTTCTATTACTTGGCAATGCGAGTCTTCTGAAATTTACAATTGTCACTCCTCAAACTAAAAATTGTAACCTCCATTTGGAGCTTTTATGTTCCTAAGAGCTCATGATGTCTTTTGTAATTTCCCATCTGATGAGACTTTTTACGTTTAGCCATCCGTGTAACTATACTTTGTTTTACACACTTTTCTTTCGGTCATATATGGGTGTTAGGTACTTCTTTGACAGGTGACGTGCGATGTCACAATCACTTCTTTATGAGATTTAGTGATCCCATTAATTTGTACGGTATAAATATTATCAGTTTTACACACCCTTTTTTCGGTACTCATAATTTTATTCAAAATGCATTTACCTAATTAAGGAATCTCAAATAATAACTGAATTTTATAACCGCAATGCACCAACACTGAAGAGCTCCAAATGCAATTGGGGATGTTGTATCTGGCTCCAAGTTCTGCAACTAATGCGAGTTGCATATCTAGCCAGAACTTTCAAATCCAATGTGCTGTGACTTAATGCTAGAAGATTAGGCGATTATCTTGGGTCCAAATGCCTTGTAAATGAGGACTTTTGAGATTACAAAGCTGAAACGCCACAGTCTGATTCAAAACGAAGTTAACGGATTTGAGTTGACCTTAATCATATTTGTATTTTAATTACATTAACCTGTTTAATGCGATTAATTAATCATGTGTTTTAAAAGTCAATTGATTTAACGGATTTGAGTTGACCTTAATCAAATTTGTATTTTAATTACATTAACTTGTTTAATCCGATTAATTAATCATGTGTTTTAAAAGTCAATTGATTTAACTTGATTCGATCCATGTAATTAATTGTGTCATCATCGTGTCACTGATTAACCTATGACATATATATATAAATATATTTTTTCTTTTTTCTTTTTTCTTTTTTTCTTCTTTTTGACGTATTTAAACTGACATTTTTTATTATTTTAATATAAACTCAACATGGATATTGTATTTGTCCCAATTGTCAAATTTAGTTATCCATCATGTTTTTTTTTTTTTCATTATATTTACATTTTATACTTAAATTAATATACCGTTTACATGACCCATTAAATTTTTAAAAATGAATTATTGAACGGTTGATGTTGTTTGTAAGTTAGATTACCACAACCCAGCCCACAATTGTAGTAACTGCCCAGTATCTTTACAGCCCGCAATTCATTTTATTTTATTTTTTTTATTTTCATGCCAAAAATGTTAGGGATAAATTGTTTAAAGAGGAAGGGATATATGTAAAACTTGAACACAAGCTCTCAGATAAGGGGTGCAACTCAACTACTCTGGTAAAACACTTCAACTCGCAGCTGAATGCGAGAAATGCCTTGGAAACTAGGTCTGAGTATCATGTCCAAACCCGGTTCTTGAGTCCCTAGCTTTGCTTAGGGTGTGAAAGCTGTTGCTCTGGCGATCAATCTTTCTTTCCTCTCTTCCCTTCTCCTTTTCCTTTCTCCTCTGTTCTCCCTTTCCTTTCTCTGAATCCTCTCTCCATGGAGGATATTGCTTCTAAACTTCAAGAATTTACCCTAACCCTTGAGGAGGCTGAAATTATCGAGACAACCCCAAAGGATCTTCAATCCGGCATCCACACCTATCGTCACAGCCTCTTCACAAAGATCTTAACTGATAAATCAACCTCTCTCGGCGCTCTCAAGAAAGTGATGAGTGAGATCTGGAAATGCCCTATAAAGATTTACAAATTATCAGAAGATAAATTCCAGTTTCTCTTTGCTTCTTCCAGCGATGCTCAACGAATCTTCACATCCAGCCCATAGTACTTCAAGAAGCACCTCCTTATTTTGGCTGAATGGAAACCCAACATCATCATTAATGATTCTCTTTTTTCTCACGCTTGTATGTGGGTTCATCTTCTCAAGCTACCCTTTGAAGGTCTCACTCCTGAAATTGGGTCCAAAGTCGCTCTTACGGCTTTTTCTTCTTTTGATTCTATTGAAGTCAGAGATAAAGAGGATCAAGGTGGCCGATTTCTACCTATCAGAGCCCTTGTTGATGTTACTAAACCCCTTCGACGGGCAACTCATCTTCGAATTCTTGGTGAAATCCATTGGATCCCCTTCAGTTATGAACGACTACCTTCCTTTTGTTATTTTCTTCGCCGGAAAATGTGGCATCACCAGAGATCCATCCTATGTCAAATGTCCATCATGCCCCTCCCTCTACCTTCAGCACTGACATCATCAATCATCACGTGGTTGGAGCCGCTTCTGTCAGAACGTGGCACATGGGTCAAGGCCAACCGTCTCTCTCTCTCTGCACAAGGATTTGCCACATTTCCTCAACATCTTGTCTCAACCTTCAGGTGATGGATCCTCTTCTCATCTCTCTATTTTAAACTCAAGCCCAAAACCCTCCACATCCTGTATTTTTTTAACCAACATTCCAGACGACATCCTACCTTTTATTGGCCCATCTTCTAGCCCAACTTCCACTATCACACCCCATTTTCCCGGGCCCCTTAACTCAATGGATACTACTCCTAGCCCAATCTACCATAACCCACCCACAAACCCCACTGATCCACTCCATAGCTCCACCACTCCAATGGCCCATTCCAACTCACCCACTATCCTCGACTCTCCCATTACGCCTACATCGCACCCTAAATACATAGAGCTTTCTCTACACTCATGGAAGAGACAAGCCCGTTTTTCTCACCCCCCCCCCCCCCCTTCTTCCACTCCTTCCCCCCCTTCCCTCTCTAAGAGGAAACCTCCCTCTCCTGATCCCAGTGATCTCTATAGCCCCAAGTATCTCAAACCTTCCCATGACCTTAACCACTACTCTCACAACCCTCATTCTCTTGCTATTTCTGACCAGGTGGAGGAAGTCAACCCTAACTGGCACCCCCCCTCCCCCAATGAATGCCATGGTGTGGAACTGTTGGGGTGCTGGGAACCCCCTGACAGTTTCCCAATTGAGGAGAATGATTTCTCTCCATTCCCCATTTTTGTTTTGTCTTCTTGAAACAAAAAATTCTAACTCTTACCTCAACAGGCTTCATAATCATTTTAGGAATTATTCTATGTTCTTGGTTCCTCCCCGTGGACTTTCTGGTGGCCTTGCTCTATTTCATCTTAGCCATTTTAATATCACTATTTTTTATTATAGTTCTTTTCAGATTACATGCTCAATTGATGGGGGTCCCCAAGTTGGAACTTGGTTCTTTACCGCAATATACGTTTCCTATGATGACTCCAGCAGAGCTGATCAATGGAACTACCTATATTCCCTCCATTCTCAGATTGGCCCCAAATGGATTCTTATAGGGGATTTCAACTCTCTTCTCCATGCTAATGAGCAGCGGGGCAAAAACATAAGACAATGTTGGATGCTCCAGAACTTCCGTAATTTTATTGAAGACTGTGCTCTTCTTGATATGGGGTTTAAAGGTCCCTATTTCACCTGGTGCAATCAAAGACAAACAGGTCACATCATCCTGGCCAGACTTGACAGAGGCCTCTGTTCTCCTTCTTGGGCTCAATCATTCTCTCATAGCTGAATTCATCATGTCCTTATTCATGGCTCTGATCACCATGCCCTCCTGCTTTATCTCAATAAGACTTTGCTCAAGGCAAAACGTCAGTTCTTTTTTTATGCAAGATGGGTCCAAGATCAGGACTTTAAACCTTTGATTTCT